CCAGCTCTACACCTTGTTATCTCAGATTCTCCAGCATCGGCAGTTCCTACTATCTCCTAGTCTTAAAATGAGATGTTGCTCCTCCAGTTTGCGCTGTGATTCGCTGGAGCATTACAGCATGCTGAGGACAGACATGTGGGCTAAGTGGACAGACCGGCTAAGGGAAGTTCGCGGTCATGCATGCGCGCTGTTGGGTGTACAAATACATAATATTTTCATTTATATCACGATTGGATTAAATCTTACATGAGTCTACAAACTCTAATAATGTTGCTCAAGTCAATCTTATTAATACTGATGACCACGAGAACTCAGCTTCACCCGGAGATAGCAAGAACTGCAGATGTTGGGGTCAGAGACAACACTGTGGAGCTGAAGGAACACAGCAGGTCAGGCCGTATCAGGAGAACAGGAAAGTCAACGTTTCGAGTTGGGAGTCCCGACCCGAAACGTCGACTTGCTAACTTAGTTTCACCCTCGCCTTATACACAGCTAAAGCCCGTCTTCACCTGCTAATTTCCATAGTAACGGTAACTGCCCTGCACTTACCTAGTATCCTGGTTACACCTAACGTCAGCCGGTCCACCAAGTCCTTCATATTCTCCGTTTTACCGTCTTCCATTTTGGTCTGGGCCTACTTTCGGCAATACAGACGCATCTAGTTTACAGTATTAACAGAGAAAAGTATTCAAAGATAGACCAATCCCTAGTACAAGGATAAGCTTTCCAGTCTCCTCATTGTCAGCTTTCGCCCTCGAAGAGAATGTATCAAACGCAAAGCCTTCTGGGTGTTGTAGTACTCGGATCCCTCTGACCAACGGCACCGAGGGGGAAGGGCAGAGGGCGTGCGGTCTAGGGGCAGGGCGGGGCGAGCAGAAGATAGCCGGGGATCAGGGTCATACAGATAGGGGCCGTCGGTGATGGGGGTTTGGGCGGGAGTGGACTGTCTTCCTACAGATGTTGCCTGACTTGCTGAGTTTCTCCGGAAGTTTCTGTTTTAGATTTCCAGCATCCGCAGTTCTTTGTTACACCATCTGGGGAGGGTGTAAGCGAGGGGGCGGTGCCAAGTGGTGAAGAAACGGGGCTTAAGGACAGAGGCTCCTATGGGGCTGATGGGTAATGGGCGGGGCTGAAGGTTGCCGTTTGCAGGGTGGACGGGACTTATCGTGAGCTCGGAAGGCCGAGTGCACGATGGGAGTGGCGGTTGTTTAAGATGGCGAAGGCAGGGAATTTGGTGAGTGAAGTGTTCTGGAGCAAAGATCGTATCCTTTTCATCTTTTTATTTTTCGGTAGAGCTTTTTAAGATAGTAATCAAACTTGGCAAACTGAAGCACAAACACTAAAATAACATATCGAACTGCAGATGCTAGAGACCTTAAATAGAAACTCAGGTCTGGTAGTAGCTATTGAGAGAAAGAGTTAATGTTTCAAGTATAGTGACCCTTCCGCATAAATGCGATATCGGATTTTGAATCCAATTTTATGCATAATACCTGACAGTTGTATTATTTATCTGATTGATGTGTCTTTGCTTATAAAAATAATGGAAACTTCCGTCACCACATTCATTGTTTCGTGATAGTGTTGCTTGATTTGGTTTTAGAATGCGATACTTTCTACAGTATTTGTATGTATTGCTTTTACCTACTTCCTTGATATCCCGGAAATTCAAGGCACCAATTTACAATAAAACTTATAAAGATTCAATTGTAATACTAAACCACCCCCAAGTTTTAATGATACAGTAGTACGGTAGCAATGACGTAACTAAATTTAGTATACTGGCATGTACTGTACTGTACTCAGTTTGGGCGGACCTTTTTATGTGTTCAGAGTTCATCCGTTGTTATAAATTTCTGGTTGCATTAGAGATTGTTGGAATGGAAATAACAACGACTTGTTACTTCTGCATCTGTTTAATTATCTGAAATTTTAAAAAAGGAAATATAATTTTAGTAAAATCTGGAATCTCTTTTGTGATTTTTGAACATTCTGTTTAGCAACTTCTGAAAAGTATTTACTGTTATTATGTAGGCCAGTGTAACTGAGACCCATTGTGTAGGTTTAATTGAAGCAAGCTGGAACTTGAAAGTTATACAAGCTATTTACATTGAAACTACTGGAGGAAATTAATAGAGGTGACTGAGTTGAATATTGTAATTTCTTAAAAAAAAAAAAATGCATTTGAAGGGGCAGTAGGAACTGGAATATAAGCAAATATGTGCTTGATGGGCTTCTCCTTTTTCAGTAATTTGTATTGAGACAAATGGAGGGCTGGTGTCTTGGTGGATAAGTGGAGACAGAAAGCAGCAAAAAGAAAAAATGATAGGCAGACAAAGGGATTGATTGTAAACCAGTGGGAAAAAGAAGCTGGAAAGGTGATAATGTGTGTGATGAGTAGTTGAAAATGAGTTGTGTGTGTTGAAAGGAACCCATGTCATGACAGGACCCTGGAGTGTGGGAATGGGTAATGTATAGGAGGCTTTCAAGCTCTAAAATAGTTAAACTTGATGTTGAGTGCTGAAGGTTATAAGGTCCCCAAGTACAACATGGGGTATTGTTCCTCCAGCTTGCATTGACCCTCACTGGAAAGCCATAGCAGGCCTGAGACAGAAGCGTTGGTGTGGGGCCATGGTGTGTTGAAGTGACTGGCAGCGGGAAGCTCTAGGTAACTTTTATGGATAGAACGTAAGTGTTTAGCAAAGCAGTCAACCAGTCTCCCTTTAATTTCCCAAATGTAAATAAACTTGGACCTTTGGTCGAAGTATCAACTTGTTGACAAAATGTATCAAGTGTATGTATGCTAGAAATGACTGGTGATGTTCCACAAGGACCTGTGACCAAACCTCAATATTCAGGAGATCAGGATATGAAATTAGTTTGTGTGAAGATGAGGAATAGAAAGGGGAAAAACTCACTAGAGAGAGTCGTCTGCAGGCCCACTAATGATATATACACTGTAGAACAAAATGTACAAGAAATAATGTTGGGTACTTCAGTTTAAAGGGATGGTAATAATCATAGGTGGCTTCTTAATCTACATATAAATTGGAAAAATCAGATTGGCAGAAGTAGTCTGGATGAAGGGATCAGGGAATACTTTTGAGAGTTTCTTAGAGCAGCAAATTTCAAAAGCAGATAGAGCAGATTACATTTGTCCTCCTGTGTTAAAGTAACCTTGGAAGCAGAGACCACAATACTATTGAATTTTGTTTTCAGTCTGAAAGTGAGAAGATTAGGTCTGATTTATTTTAAACCTAAATAAAAGCAACTGTGGGAATGAAAGCTAAGTTAGCATACTAGGTAAGGATAAGCTACCAGAAATATGGTGGTAGACTTTTAAAAGGGTATTTTAGAATGCTTGGAAAAGGCATATTTCTACATTCTGAAAAGAGAATCCAGCACCTGTGATTAACTAAAAATGTAGGGAAAGTATCCAACTTCAGGAAAAAAGCGCAACTGCACAAAAGTTCACTGTCTGATTAGATAATCATTTAGAATATAAAGAACAGCAGAATAGGGAAATGATTAATTGAGGGATAAAATTATAGTATGAGAGGAAGCTAGCTGGGAATCTAGAAACAGATGGCAAGAAATTCTACAGGTATTTACGGAGGAAAAGAGTAAGTAAAGTTTCTTTTTTCATTTGTGGAATGTGGGCGTCGCTGGCTGGCCAGCATTTCTTGCCCATCCCTAGTTGCCCTTGAGAAGATGGTGGTGAGCTGCCTTCGTGAACTGCCAGTGATGCCCATATCCCTCAAACGGAAAAAAGAAACTTTACTTGCTCTTTTCCTCTGTAAATACCTGTAGAATCTCTTGCCATCTGTTTATAGATTCTCAGCTAGCTTCCTCTCATACTATAATTTTATCCTTCCAGAGATTGTGAATAGGAAGTTAATAGTAAGTAATAAGGAAATAGATAAAATGAAGAAATATTTTCCTTTTTTATTATAGTGGGTATAAAAAATATTCCAATAATAGTTGTAAATCAGGAAGTGAAAGGGGAAATAGAAATTTATTAAAATTATAATCATGAGGGAGTGGTACTGTACAAACTGATGGAACTGTGGCATGGCAGGTCTCTGGTACAAATGGGTTTCAAGGGATTGCTAACAATGTAATAGATGCATTGGTGTTAATTTTCCAAAATTTCCTAGATTCAGGAAAGGTTCCACCAAACTAGAAAGCAGCAAATATAACCCCTTTCTTCAAGTAGGGAGGGAGGTAAAAAACGCTATCAGTGTATCAAGGGAAGATGATGACCAGGAAAAGAGGGGGGCTCTTTTATCTATAGATTAGATAGCTTGATATGTCATGGGCAAGTGTCAGAATTGGCCATTGACAAGGTTATAGCTATACACTTTGACAATCTCAAAATAATTGAAAACAGTGTGGTTTTGCCAAAGGGAAATCACGTTTAACCAATTCAGAATCATACGGTACCAAAGAGGTCCCTTCGGCCCATCGAGTCTGCATTGATGAAAGCTCGTCTAAATCTACACTTGTTCCACTTTCCAGCACTAGGTCATAGCCTCGAATATTATGACATTTCAAGTGCTCGTCCAAGTAATTTTTAAAAAAGTTGTCAGGTTTCCTACCTCTACTGCCTCCTGAGACAATGCATTGCAGGTTCCTGCCACCCTCTGGGTGCAAAGAGTTTTTCTCAAATCCTCTCTAAGCTTCTTGCTTTTCACCTTAAAATGATGCCCCCTTGTTATTGTTCCTTCACCTCAGGGGAGCAGCTGCTTTCTCTCCAACCTCTCCATGCTCCTCATAATCTTATACACCTCAGCCTTTTCTGCTGCAAAAACAATCCAAATTTATCCAGCCTCTGTTTGTAGCTAAACTGCTCCATCCCAGACAACATCTTGGTGAATCTCCTCTGCAATCATATCCTTCCTATAGTGCAGTGACCAGAACTGCATGCAGTACTCCAGCTGTGGCCTAAAAGTTAATAACAGCTTCAATATAACAGCAGAGCTGTTATATTCTATGCCACAACTAGTAAAGGCAAGTGTCCCATATGCCGCCTTAACTACCCCATTATCCTGTGGTGACATCTCTTGTGGACGAGCACCCAAGATCGCTCTGTTCCCCCAAGCTTTCTACTGTCTGTCTTTCATTGAGTACTCACCATTGCCTTGTCATGTCTTCCAAAGTGCATGACCTTTGGACTTATTGGGGTTAAGTTCCATCTATCCATCTGACCAACCTATCTATGTCGTCTTGTAACTTAAGATGTTTTTCCTCACTGTCAACCATTTGGCCAGGCTTCTTGTCATCTGCCAACTTAGCTGTCATTTCCCCACAACCCCACATTTTCTTCCATGTTATTTATATATATCTCAATCACAAAGGTGCTGATCCATACGGTACACCACTAGATACTGGGCTCCACTCATATAAACAGCTGCCTACCACCATCCTCTGTCTCTTACCATTCAACCAATTATGGATCCAAGTTGCCAAGTTACTTAGATCCTATGTGCTTTTATCTTCTTCAGTCTCTCACTGATCTTGGGATTTGCTGAAATCCATATAATCGACATCAACTCCACTGCCCTCATCCACATACCTGGTCAGCATCACGAAAAATCCAAATAAATTTGTTTGGCATTATCTCTCTGACAAAGCCATGCCCCTTCAAGTGGAGTTTAATTCTCTCCTTCAGAATTTTCTGTGATAGTTTCCCTTGAGACTCCTTGATCTGTGGTTTATCTCTACCACCCTTCTTGAAATGTGGAACCAAATTATCTGCCCTCTGATAGCTCCCCTGTGGCCAGAGAAGAATTAAAAATTTGGGTCCCCTGTAATTTCCTCACTTGTCTCTTACAGCAGCCTGGAATACAATCAGCTGGACCTGGGAATTTGTCCATTTTTCGCCAGCCAACTCCAGTAACTCCTCACTCCCTATGTCAAACTGCTCGAGAACTTCACAGTCCCTCTCCTGAAATATGTACCTACATCCTCCTCTTCCTGAGTGAAGTCAGGTGTGAAGTATTCGTTTCACACCATACCACAGTCTTTCAGTACCACGCACAGATGGCTCCCTACTGGGCCCCACTCTTTTCCTGGTCATCATCTTCCCCTTGATACACTTAGTATTTTTCATGCCCTCTCTTTACTCTCCTAATTGTTTTAAGGTCCCCCCCTGTATTTTGTATACTTTACTGGGGCCTCTGTTGATTAGTTCCCTTTCTACCTGTTAAAGCCTCTCCTCTTGTCCAGTCCTGACTATTCCGAGACAATCAGAGTTCTCTGG